TCTGATCTCCAGAAACACAAAAAATTCAGTTCCTACCTAGCCTTTAGTAATAAAACTGTGGGCGTTGTAAATTGATGTTTGTAGGGGCATACATGAGAAGAAACACATGCAGAAATAAATACACAATGAAAAAGAATAGAGTTTGGCCAAATGGGTCTTTTATGGATTTCACAATATATTTTGCCTTGAGTTTACTTTTAACTTCGTGCTCAACTAAATTGGAAGATGATTTTTTTTCCATCCAAAGTCATATTTAAGTAACCAGTTGCAATCACAATACTTGAAAATGTCATTTCCTACACTTCGGGGAAATATGTGTCTCAAGACTCTTTACTCTCTATTCTACTCTGCCCACCTTCCTTTCTCCCTACGTCCCACATTAGGATTTAATTCTTCAATTACTCTGAATTTTGGAGAAATGTCTAGATTCTCTTTTGCCACATATGTTTTGATTTTCTGAATATTGCACTCTAATGGGAATCTGCTGTGCATCTGTAGTAAATAAATCTTTGAATTGCTAATTGTTTCAGATTAACCCCATAGATCTTTAGCACAGATCTTTATGGCATTTTAAGCCCACAAATTAGCCTGTTTATTATTTCTGGGACTTTAATCAGAAACCCTACACACATGCACAAGGGTCAGAATGCCTGGTGGATAGTGTAGCAGCGGTGTCTATGTATTCTGTTGCCTCCTTGGGGGGCAGGCCACCCTCTATTTCCCCCTCCTCTATTGTATGAGTCAGCTTGCGCTGCCGTAACGGAATACTGCAGGCTGGGTTGCTTAACAGCAGAAATGTATTTTCTCGAAGTCTGGAGGCTAGAAGACTGGAAGTCCATGATTTCAGGGTACCAGCAGAGTTGGGTTCTGGTGATAACCTCTCCCCTCAGCTTAAGAGACAGCCACCTTCTTGCTTATCTCCTCTGTATTTAATATAGTCACACTGGGGGTTATAGTGTCACCAAATGAATTTGAAGGGGAGGTGATGCAACTCACTCCGTAATATACCTTAAGGACAGTGCCAGTTGTCTCCCATGGGATTTTCCAGATGCTCTCTCCCCGTCTCTCCACAAGCTCTGTGCTCAGAGAAAATGATCCATATGACTTCTGGTTTCTGTGAGAGAGATGATCCATATGATCCATATGACCTCTGGTTTCTGGGAGAGAGATGGGAGAGAAGAAAGAGATAAGGGTCTCAGTTCATATTCCCCTGGTCCCCTCCCAGCAGGGCCAGCAGGGGTTGGTATGTCCCTAGTCATGTCTCAACTCCTGTTAGCCCTTCTGTTTCCAGTTCCCGTGACAACCCCTCCCCACCACTCCCCAGCTTCTTTCTATCCTATGGGGGGTTGGGATAGTTATTGATCTCATACTCTCCTTTGATGTTTCCCTTCACCATACCCAGTTATAAAGTAATTCCCTCAAATCATCTTTGATGGAGGGATATCACTTCTATCTGTAAAGGACATTTTGAGGGCAGTGGCAACCCACTGTTCTTTTAGCCATTCCTTCTGTCAACCCAGCGAATCTCCAGAGGACTCCATAATAAGTCCTGTTTCCTTTACAGTGGTGTCCCCTCTGGATGCCGCCATGATGGAATGACTTGTGGTCCTACTTCTGAGGGAACTCCAGTCAGGTTGGGATTTCTAGGCAGAATTTTGCGTCTGAACCTATGTCCTTTTCCCTTAGAATGCTCAGGACCATACATGCCTCCTTTCTTTATCATTTTAATCCTGCGACCCATCTGGAAAGAGCTTAGAGGGCTGGTCTGCTCTTAGGTTTGAAAGCCGAACTTCAATGAAGACACTGGAGCTTTGGCTAAAAATAGTACAGCAACAACCAACCAGCCTTCTTTTTGCCCAAAAGAAGACTATTATTGAGGATAAAGAGCGCAGGCTTTAGCTCTAGTTGGATTTCAATGTCTGGCCCTAACATTCATGAGCGTTTCTGAGCCCCAGTTTACCCATCTGTGAAATGATATAGACTTAAATTGTGCAGAATAATGTTTGTATAGTGCTTAGTGCATAATAAATGTTGATAAATGTTAGTCTCTTTAGTGCACAATGAACCTTTTGTGTGTAAAACCTCTTGTGATCATAAAGTAAAAATTATCTTTTAAGAATTGGCCCTGTGTTTCCCCTCGTAAGAGGGGAATAAATGCATTTGTTTCTGTTTATAAAAATCGCATATGGTCATGGAAGGATGGTATGAAGAAGAAAGAAAAAAAAAATCTTTCCTAATCTTACCAAACAGAATTAAGTTCTGTTACATTGTCACTTTATGGTAACTTTATGCATTTAACTTTATACACATTAACTTTTTAAACACACCACACACACACACACACACACAGGCACACATACATTCTTTTTCTAAACTGAGACCATATTACATCATTTTCTACCCTCCATTTGTAATTACATTGTCAAAACTACCTTCTAAATACTTCTTATTAAATATTCTTTTAAAACCAAGTACGATCTTTTCAGTGAATTATACACGTAGGCACCCAGTCATAATTTTGAATGGGTGTGTGTGTGTGTGTGTGTGTGTTTGTGCCAGACGTGCTTTTTCGTGGTTTTGTGGTTCTTAATCTATTATCTGTTCCAGTGCTGTTTAAACCAGTGGTTTTTGCTTATGTCATACATTCTGTGGACCTGTCATATAAAGCTACAGTGTGACCACGTCTTTGCCAGCAACACAGCCCCTCAGTCTGTGATAGAGAGGCTACCTATTGATGATGAATTGGACCCTTCCTTCTCTGGCTATGAGGTTCTCTCTCTGAGGTGAGGGTATGAGTCAGTCACTAGAGTTTCTCAGTCTGGCCATCCACACCATAGTGAGCGGTAATTCCTTCTAGAGATTTGCAAAGCATTGAACAAAATCCCTCCTTTATGATGCCTGAGTGAGTTTTGCATCCTTCTGTACATTTCCTGAATAGTCTGACGACAACCTGAAGGATGGTAAACCAGACCCAGCTGTCAAGTGGCAGTAGTATCCAGAACTTTTTCTCCCTCTCTCTTCATGAATTGTTCCCATTCCTGTGCGATCATATTGCATTTTTCCACATTGAAAGACAAAAAGAAATCCACGTTCAGGTCAAATCATGTCATAAATATTCTGTTTCTTGAGGTTTCAAGGTCAGAGACAGTTTATCAAGAATATTTCAAATTCTTTCTCGTCTCTTTCCTTGGATCTTTTACCAGAAATTCCAATACCACATCCCAAACTACTTTCCTTCCACCTGAGACCATAAAAGCTAGGGCCTGGAAGCAAAAAAGAGGGTCTGCCATCACCAGCTAGTGACTTCGGTTCTCATTCCCTAATTACCAAATGATAGATTTGGCCTGTGTGTCCTTCAGGGTGACTTCCAGTATTAAAAAGGTAAAATTTCTGAGGGATTCCGTTCCACCTCTTCAGAAAGATACACATCACTTTGGCCAACTTCTCTCTTTTCTTATGAAGATCTTATCTTATGGAGCCAACTAGTCCTTATGCTTCGGTACATCTATGTTCTACTTTGCTTCTTCTCCTTAATTATTTTATGACCTCAGGAAACGCTGTGGATGGATGCCACGTTTTGACATGAAGACTGTAACCCCATCTCCTAGCTTTGTAAGAAAAATTTCACGGATGGGGTGGAAGAAAGTATCCCACTGTCAAATATGTTTGGAAAAAAAGCATAGGATAATATCTCCCATAGAGTTTTGCAAAGAACAATCACTGAGTTCTACAGTAGGGGAATCTATTTCATTTTGCTTAACTTAGAATTTCCCAAACATACTTAACCTTGAAAATTTTTTTTCATCTCTGGTAGCATCCATTAACATCCTTCATAATTAGTGTCCATTGTATAGGGGAGGCACAGCTCTGGAAGGCTCATTGTCCCTAATTCTGCTCCTCACCAACAGTGTGACCTAAGGATAGATCGCACAACCTCTCCACTCCTCGTGTTGCTCATATGTTGACTGAGGGAGCAGAAGAGCACCATTTCATGTGGAAGGAGACTCATAGCCCTACTATAGGTCTGTAGTAATCACAGCTAATGACATGCCCACTCTGCGGTCTGGCTGAGTGGGTTCAAATTTTGTCTTTCCACTTTCTAGCTGTATGACCTTGGGAACATTTCTTAATTTCTGTAGCTCAATTCTTCATCTGTGTAATAGGGACAAAATTGTACCATTCCCACAGGGTTGTTGGAAGAGTTGAGTCTGATTCATGTAAAACAATTAGAATTGTGCCTGGTCCGTGGTGGGACCTCTTATTGTTGTCATTGGTACTCTTGTGACCTCTATGACTGTGGCGTGTGAAAAGGATTATTTTAGGGTTTTTTATTGGGATGTAATTGACATGTAACATTATATTCAAGTGTATAAAATGCTGCTTTGGTATTTGTATATATTGGGAAATGAATACCACAGTGAGTCTAGTACCACAGTCTTTCATGATGCCGAGTTACATTTTTTTTTCTAGTGTTGAGAATTTTTAAGATCTACTCTCTTAGCGACTTATGTATAAACAATACAGGATTATTAACTGGAGTCACTGGGCTATACATTACATAGAGATTATTTTAGTTTCTGAAAGCAACTCCTCTTGGGTCGCCTGGGTGGGTGAGTAGTTAAGTGTCCAGCTCTTAATTTCAACTCAAGTCGTGATCTCAGAGTAATGAGATCGAGCCCTGGGTCAGTCTCCATGCTCATCACAGGGTCTACTTAAGATTCTCCCCATCTGCCTCTCCCCACCACCCCTGCCACAGGCTCATGCTTTCTCTCTTAAAAAAAATATATATATATATATGTATATATATATATGTGTGTGTGTATGTATATGATAAAAAGCAATTCTTCTGACCTCAAAAAAACAGCCTACATCCAGCGCATTACTAAAATAGCATCACACCCCTCCTACAGCTATTTGATGTGCCCCGTTGCTATTGCTCTCTGCACTTAGAGTCTGTGATCTGTGTCTTCTGTCATTTAACTTTTTCTGTTTGTGAACAGGGGCGGAGAGGCCTCGGCTCTGTTTTTGTCTGGGCCTCAGGAAACGGCGGAAGGAGCAAAGACCACTGTTCCTGTGATGGCTACACCAACAGCATCTACACCATCTCCATCAGCAGCACGGCCGAGAGTGGGAAGAAGCCTTGGTACCTGGAAGAGTGTTCGTCCACACTGGCCACCACGTACAGCAGCGGAGAGTCGTACGACAAGAAAATAGTACGTAACATTTGAGTGTCCGTCACGGCTTATTCATTTATCTTTCCCAGTGAAAGACAAAGGAAGAACCGTAAACTCATATGCACAAGCAGTATACAGAAATAGACAAGTGATATGTGGGAGTCAGTGGCTGGCTCAACCCACGTAATTTTAAGTGTTGTCGTTCCATTACCAATTCATTGGTAATTCGCTCAAGGAAGGTTCTGGCTTTTCCGGTGCATCTGATGGAGAATTTCAAACACCTTTGCAGTTTGCTCTTGATCGTAGTCTTATAAACTGACTCAGGGTTTGTCTTTCTAAAGCGGAGCTAGGCTGCTTCCCTTGATACTTTTCAGCTGTGGCTGAGACCCTGCTCTCAAGTCTTAGAGAGTCACACAAATCTGGGTCACCTCTGACGTTCACACAGTGGTGGAGAGACAGGTGATATGATACAACTTGCTTTATATAGTGCTTCATTCACATCCTTTTAGTTCTTTTTGATTCCTGGTTCTATGTAATTGTCATGTGCGACTTCTCAGCTATTTTTTACTAACTTCTTTAATTGCATTTTTTTGATTGATTTAAGTCGAAAGTGCCTACCTATATATAGCCCCTATGCCCCTCTCTTTCCCTAATTCCTCCACAATAACTGGATTAAAAAACATGCATTGGGAATGCCTGAGTGGCTCAGTCATTCAAGCATCTGCCTTTAGCTCAGATCATGATCCCAGAGTCCTGGGATCGAGTCCTGCCTCAGGGCCCTTGCTCAGTGGGGAGCCGCCTCCTCCCTCTGCTTGTACTCTCTCTCTCTCTCAAATGAATAAATACAATCTTAAGAAAAATAAAAAACACATGCATGAGTCCACCTTTAAGTACCTCCATCATTCATTAGTGAACATGACCCTGCAGTACAAAGTAAAATGTAAAAGAAAATATGGAGGTGACAAGTGTCACAGTGTCCTGGCTTTTGTAATGAAAAGTGACATTCCATGTTTTACCTTCATTATGAAAATGTTATAATCCAGGAGTACCCCTTATGCTCTCAGATACGCTTATCTCTCAGTACTTAGGGTCATGGTCCTCTAAATCTGAGTGGCATCCATCAGTTCTGTACCATAAAAATCCTGATGGAACTCTCTGGAGTAAGAGTTCTCTTCCAGTACCTCTCAGGTCTGAAAGCAAACTTGCCGTTGCTTCGAAGCAAATATGCCCATTGACTCCTGTTTTTGCTTGTGGGCTGGTTGCCATGGAGGGGGAATTGTGACGTTCATAAAAGCCTTTCTTAAGAGAAATGTACAATCCAGCAGGCAAAATCTCCAAGGAGAAGGAAGGGTTTTCTGGGTCCTGGATGGGAGAATGCAGTATGGACAGAGGGACCTCAAAATCCTTATGTGAGATTTACTCCCCAGACCTGACCTTCCTGGGCCCCCATCGTGCTATGATGCTGTGATCGCTGCTATGACTGCCCCTGCCTCCATGACGACAGGTGGTCATTTAGGATTCTCCTGGGAAAGGACAGAGTGATCCAGTCACTGGGTAAATCCAGTCCGTCATAATAGACTTCACTTTCTCTTTTTTAAAAATATTTTATTTATTTATTTGACAGACAGAGAGATCACAAGTAGGCAGAGAGGCAGGCAGAGACAGGGGGGAAGCAGGCTCCCTGCTGAGTAGAGAGCCTGATGTGGGGGCTCGATCCCAGGACCTGGGAACTTGACCTGAGCCGAAGGCAGAGGCTTTAACCCACTGAGCCACCCAGGCACCCCAGACTTCACTTTCTCTGGACTTGCTACTTCTGATACCAAAACCTTTACAGACTCACTCTACATATTTAACTTAAACCTGTTTCTACCTTCTGTTCGATCTCTTTCTCCCATGTTCATCACAGCAATCTGTTAGTAATTTTTCTCCATCCGGCTCTTAGAGTTTCTTTATTTTGTGAGACTCCCCAGATCACCATAAATTGGAGAGGAAGTTTGGTAGTTCTTCCAAGCTAGAGTCTCTGGCTTCAGACACATCTCAGTGGCTCAGTGAACCTCACTGAGTCTTGGTTACACCATCTGTAAAATGCAGGCAAAACCCTCACCAGCCTCATTGATTTTGGGGGAAGATGAGGTGCTGGACATAAGGGACTCACACCGCACCGGTGCAACGAGCCACTCAGGAGTGGCTGGTGCCACTGTTCCCTAGGACGGTGTGCTGTTCTGAATCCTGGGAGGCGAGGCTGGCCATTTTTCCAACTGTTGTTAATCAGGGCTCTCATGGCACCTCTGTTTTTCCAATCTACAAAATACTGCGATCTGCACCACCTACCCCATAAAGAAAGACACTTTGAACATGAACATGTTAACGGTTTGAACATGAGTAGAGTTGGCAACGATGTCAGCCTTTTCTGGTCCAGCTGACCCCTTTTCCTCCTAGATGTCAGAATGACAAATAATCCTGCATCGTGCCTGGGACCTTTTCCCCAGCAGGCTTTGAACCAGAAGCCCTGAGTCCCTCAGAGATACCCGCTTCCTGGCCATGGCATTGTGACTGAGTGTTGTAGGAATGGCGGCTTCTGTCTCCCTTTGTTCTGGGGCTCTCCTCCCTGGGCTCTTCATTTCCTTGTGCCACTGGCAGCTTCTTCGGGAGAGCACGGTTGTTATGACTTATTTGTAGAGTACCTTTGTGATTTGACCCAGGCAAATGCCAAGGATTCAGAAGAGAGGAAAGATCCCTCTGCTTCTGGAAAAGCACTTTGAATAAATTTCACTTGCCTTCAACAGAATGTCTTGTCATGGTATGCAAGCAGGAAAACCTTGCCCTGGGTTTCCAAACAGCCAGATCTCTGTCTCTTGGTTTCCTTCCCCTGTTATTAGTACAGTCTTGGACCTTGGTATTTCATTCATGCTTTAACAGATTCAGATCAGCCATGGCCTTATGTCTTTTTACAGCGAGGGAAGCATCCAAAATACCAAGACGACTACAACAAGAAACTTCCCGTAAGCTAAACAGAAATCAGTTGAAATGCCTGGCTATTCTAAAGCCCTGTGATCAAATAATATGGTTTTATTAACAATAATGCATACATCTTATTCCATGTTGAATACATCATACATTCACCGTGATATTAACATGCCATAAATATGGAATTTTTGTTATTCCTCCAATTAGTACCAGGTACTGCACTGTGCATATTAAATGGACCATCTCCTAGTATCCTCAAAACCCCGCCCAGGATGACCAGGTGCCGTCCTGCCTTTAAAGATGAAGAAACTAGTGCTAGAAAGGGTAAAAGAAAGCCAGGCAGGAAGTGGTAGAGCCTGGATTTCTACCAAAGTCAGGATGGACACCCACACCCGTCTTGTCACCAATACACGGTCGTGCTCTGGGTTCTTTCAAAGGACGCCTGCTCTGGAGGCGTCCACAAGCAATGGTGCTGCTCTGGCCCACGTGGGGTTCTTTTCACAGTGATAAAATACACACACACACGTGTGTGTGTATGTATGTATATGTGTGTGTATATCCAGAGAGAATATGTAGTTATCTATTATTTTTCACTACTTGGAGGATTTATGTTAATTCTCATGTTGCAAGACCTTCTCACAATCCCCTCAGACCATCCGTCCTCTTGCAAAAACCTGCAGCTCTTTGCCAGTCTGGATTGCTGGGTCCTGTGGCAGGATATCAGCACTGAACAACTCCAGGTCACGCTTTTTGTGTGACCTCCAAGCCAGGGCTCTCTGTCTTGCGGCAAGTGTCATCTGTTAAGGCGCTGTTCCCCCCAGATAGCCCTTAATTTATGCCTCTTCTAGAGCATCAGCTCAAGGAGGATTTTCTTTCCCACCTCCCTTAAAATCAGGGCACTCCCATCCCCCACTCTTTTTATCTGTTCGATTTTCTTCCTCATGTCCTTAGAACGATTTAGGACATTGCACGTTTTCTTGCTGTCTGTTTTGGAAAAACAGATTGGAAACTGTTTGTGAAACACTAGGTTGGAAACTACACGAGGTTGAAGACTTTGCCTTGTTCCTTCCCAGAGCCTGAGCTGAGTAAATATTGGTGCATAAATCACCATCAGACACTGGGAAGGATGGGACCTTCACGAGGTGTTTGTATAGCTACAGGAAGACAGGAAGATGTTCTGTTTCTTTAAGAGAAACTCCTTCTGGTCGGTCGGTGAAGGGCTAAGGGTATTTGACGGTAAACTATTTGGCATAGGAAACGGCCCACAGGACTCTTGCTACGTGATAAAGCTGTACCTACAACCTTTGTTCCGGTCAAAGGGCCTCAAAGGTCCTGCCTGTCACCCTTCACTGCCTCCTGAAATCTCTCCCTGGTTCTGTTTGGGGAATAAAGCTTCCCTCTCTCCCCAACCTCTCCTGTCATTAAATGATCCCTTTCTTCGGGAACTAGTTCAACCTTTGCCCTTTTTCCTCTAGTAATTTGTCTTAGGGCTTGGCATGTGGCAGTGATCGGATTCCTCCTGGGAGGGGTCTTGTGAGCCAAGGGTTGAGAATATAGGCTGTGCTCAGCCCTCTCCTGACGTCATGTTATTTTTTGTGTTCAAAACAAACTTGCCGCCTGGAGTATCTCTGGCTTGGACTGAGTGACCAACTCCATGTGGAGGAATTCTCTTATTGCTCTCAGGGTTCCTAAGCAGCTATGCATTTTCTTTTTTTGCAGAAACATCTCGCTCCCCGCTCCCGCCCTCCCCCACCACCCCAATCCTTATTCCGTTACAGCTACCGTTCGTGCTGGGGTTGATTTCTATCATCTTTCTGTTTCTTCTTTCGATTTGAGAAATGTTAGTGTTTTTCAAGCAGAAGACGAGCAAACCCAGATGTCTGTAGTGCGTTTGGAAAGTTGGACACATCATCTCTAGAGAATGTTAAAAAGAAGAAAGGACAGGGGCACCTGAGTGGCTCAGTCAGTTAAGCGTCTGCCTTTGGCTCAGATCGTGATCCCAGGGTCCTGGGTTTGAGCCCCATGTCAGGCTCTCTGCTCAGTGGGGAGTCGACTTCCCTCCCTCCCTCTCC